GGCAGAAGCGAAGCCCTGGCCACAGATAAAGCTGAGCAATAGAGATCGCTGGCAGCAGGGCTGGCCCGCAGCCAAGGCTCGCCCTCGTCAGCCCGTCACGTGGGTGCCGTTGGAAGCTCTCCCTGATCCCTTCCCTGGCCGCAAAGAACACGGCTTAGTTCCCTCACGTATTAAAGCTACAGGGGCCGGACCAGTAAAAAATCAATAGCTACGAACGCTTCCCGCTTAACACAACACAGATTTGGGACTTTACATTCCACGGAATGAGAACGAACACAGAAACGGGATTCGAGGTACTCACCCAGAGTGTTCGGAGCTGAAAGGAGGCAAGAACAGTTAAAGCCCTGACCATTCCTGAGCTCGTTCTGGATGCTACTCACCGAGGAGGTACTGCTACAAGACCTGCTCCTGCGTTTGCGGCAGTGGTGCTGGTATCTCTTCGGACGGTGCTGATCTCTGCCCCGGGATCGCCGCCAGTTCCGCGGGCGCGCCGAGTAATAGTCCTCCCCGAACGACGGGCTCCGCTCTTCGAACCTGTAGGCATCGCTGTCCCGCCGGCACCTCCTGTGGTAAGGCATCCTCTCATGGCTGCAGCACAAACAACAGCGCTGTTACCAGCCTGGGAAAGCACAGAAGGCCGAGTCCCGCTGGAACTAAGTCACAGAACCACAGAGTATCCTGAGTTGGAAGGGAACCCACAAGGACCATCGAGTCCAACTCTCAGCCCTGCACAGGACACCCCAAGAGTCCCACCATGACCCTGAGAGCGCTGTCCAAATGCTCCTTGAGGTCTGTCGGCCTTGGTGCTGTGATCATGCCCTGGGGAGACTGTTCCAGTGCCCAGCCACCCTCTGGAAGAAGAGCCTTTGCCTCCTATCCAACCAAACTCCCCAGACACAGCTCCCTGCCGTTCCCTTAGATCCTCTCACTTGGTCATCAGAGAGATGGTGTCCTGCTCCCACTCCCTGTGGCAGGAACTTCAAACCCTCTGCTGTGCCTCAAATACTGACCCCTATGGAGGTTTGTGAGAGAAAACAGTGTGGCACTCCCACATTTCAAGGAGCTGGGGGAAACGTAACATCTATCTGAGCTGCCTACCTTGTTGTGGACTCCCACCCTTCAAATTGTTCAAGGTCAGGTTGGATGGAACCTGGAGCAACCTGGACTAGTGGAACATGTCTCTGTACATGGCAGGGGGTGGAACCGGATGAGCTTTAAGGTCCCTCCAACCCAAAACATTCTGGGATTCTATGATTCCACCTCACCTAAGCCTCCTCCGCCACAACACACAAGTGTTTGTCATCATTCCTCCTCCCTCAGGAAGGTCTCTCATTAGTTCTTAAATAAATGAGAACTAAACCCAGCAGCAGGACTCTAGTTGTCACCCCAGGGAGGGGCTGGAGGTCCCAAAACACCCAGTCCTTGGTGAGCATACACACACCACAGCTCCATAGATCATTAGAAAGGGCCAGAAAGAAAATTTGCTCTCCAAGTATAGCCAAGCTCCTGCCCTGCTAGCAACAACCTCACAGCATGTAAGGAAAACTTTTGGACAAGCTCATCTCTGAATAAGGAAGGACCTGGAGTCGTCAGACAAAGCTCATCTTTGACGTCACACACGAGGTTTTAGGTACCATGGGGGCACACCAGTGATGAGAGCAGCCCTTCCTGCCTCTGCCCCCCAAAGCACAGCTGCCTTCTCCACCCCAGCCGTTCTGACAAACCAGATCTCACTGCAAGTCTTTCTGTGTTTTAGGTAGAAGATGTTATAATTCTGAAATCAAAGTAGTGCACTGGCTTCCCAAAATAATCCTGGGCATGTGCCAGGCCAGGTCGATGCTGTCACCCAGCAGTGGCCTCACTAACCAAGACCTTCAGCCCGGAAACAGGAATTTTTGCTATTTGCACCTCTCTGCCTTGTCAACAATCAGCTCCCCTCACTGATAGCTTAACAGGACACAGGTTTGAGTGTGAGGGTTCATCTCAGGTCCAGAGTAAAATTCCAGACTCTGCCAAGGCAGCAGCAGCAGCTCTCAGTCATTGCTAAACCACCCAAAACACAAATCATGCGCCTCTGCTCCAACATCGATCTATTCACCAACTCATCACTGGTGAAACTCCACTGTGCACTTTGGACAAACACAGGACACAGAATAACAACCCGAAGGACACAAAAACAGAGGAGACCTGAGAGGCTGAGTCTGAAACTAAGCGATAAGACTGTTTTCACCAAAAAAAAAAAAAGCCTATTTCAATCCAAATCTGTCCCAAATTACCCAGCAGATGAAAAAATGGAAAAGTCCACTGCGTGTGCCAGCTGTGTTTCACAATCTACTTCCTCCAAGTAAACAAAAGCCAGGCTGAGGAGAGGAATTAATGTAGGGAACATTTAAAGATGAGCTCAGCTCCAGCCTGGCTGCACCTGCCCAGTCCAACCAGTGGAACCACAACAGCCCCAGTACCAACAGCCTACTCTGGTCACACACTGGGGCATGGCTCCTGCCTCTGTTCCAGAACCCTCCTCTTATCAGAGGCCTTATCCCGCTTCCAGCACCTAATTGTCCCTGTAGAAACGCTGAACAAAGAGAGAATCAAAGGTAAAATCCAGAACCAAAGCAGGAGAGGTCAGTTAGTGGTCGGATTCTTTAGCTGTGATCCTTTCTGAGGTGAGGGAGGAGTGTTGTTACTTTAAATTGTTGTTTACTTTAAATCTGATTTCAGTCCGGTCACATGGAAGTGGGTTGTTCGGAGAAAGGCTTTAGGGCCTCTGCAGGATGGAAACGTGATTCCAGGGCAGGCTGTTCCCTCGCTAACATTAGAGCCGTGTCTTTGGGAAGAACTTCAGCGCAGCAGGGAGGATGCACGCACGCACACACACACACAAGTAAGCCCTTCGCTTCCATCCCTGGGATTTACAGGTTTAAAGCCGATCTGTAGTCAGGAGACGAATGCCAGCTCGGGAACACTAGCGGGATCAGGACGAGGGTTTATTGGATAACCCGCCCCGAAGTGCTCCTACCTCCTGGATCGCGACCGCCGGGAGAGATCCCTGCGGGGAGGGTACCGCAGCCTGCCCTCGTATTCCCTGCTCCGGGACCGCCTCCGCTTCCACCTGTGTCCCAGGTCGCTCTCCTGCTCCGGGGACCGGAACCTCCTGCAGTGATGCATCTGCGGGGACAAGGGGGTTCCAGGTCTGAACCCCTCGCCCGCGGGTGCTGCGTGAGGCGGGCTGGGCCCGGGGGACACCCCGGCCCTGGCAGAGCCCGCCCGGGGCTCGCTGATGCCGGAGGGCGCTTTGCAGCCGAGGGTCCCGCAGGGAGCGGGGGTTACGGGGCCGTTACCCGGCCCATTCCCCGCCCGCCTCCCCTCGTGTCCCCGCCGTGTCCCCGCGGTCTCACCGCCGCCCCTCCGGCCGCGCTCGGCGGGTGCGGCCCGGCCTGGCCCGGCCCGGCCCAGTTCCTGCAGCCCCGCAGCGCCACGGCTTCCGCTTCCCGGACCGGGGTTAAACCCGCCCCGGAGGGACGGGACGGGGCGGGACCGGCCTTAAACCCGCCCCGGAGGGACGGGAGGGACCGGGACGGGACCAGAGTTAAACCGGGACGGGAAGCGGTGGGGAGAGGGTGACCTTTCGCAACGCTCAGGCTCCTCATGCCCCACCATGGCCTTCCTCACTGCAGCCGTCCTCACCCTCCACACCGCTTCCTTCCCGTGGTCTTCCTCCCTGTAGTCTGACTCACCGTGGTCTTCCCCACTGTGGCTATATCTTCATCCTCCCCATGGCCTTCCTCTCCGTGGTCTTCCCCGCCATGGCTATCCTCACTACAGCCTCTGTCACTGTGGACTTCCCCATTGCAGCCATCGTCACCCTCACCATGGCTTTCCTTGCCATGACCTTCCTCACCATGGTCTTCCTCACTGTGGCCATCCTCACCCTCAGCACGACTTCATTCCTGTGGTCTGACTCCCTGTAGTCATCAGGGCCAATATCACCTTCACCATGGCCTTCCTCTCCATGGCCATCCTCATCTTCCACACAGACTTCCTCCCCAGGGTCTTTACCCTCACCGACTGCCTCACCACAGCCTTCCTCACCATAGCCTACCTTCAACACAGCCATCCTCTTCCTCAGCAGGGTTTTCTTCCCTGTGGTCTGCCTCACCATGACCTTCCTCCTCATGGCTTATCTCACTGCCTTCCTCACCATTGTCTCATGGGTGACAGCCTGGGGGTGAGGACCTGGTGGAAGAGTTTCTGTGTCCAATTAGCCCACTTGTAAAGGGACCTCTGTCCTGATAATTCACTCATTAGCGCCAGCCAGGGGTCTGCTCTTTCCCACGCCTTGAGGTGACCTCCCTTCTCACCCAGGCCACCTCTCCAGAGGACAGGGTGGACCATGGACACTGCCGGCCCATGGATAGGACAGAATTCCAATGACTCCACACATGCAATCATCCCTGACCCCTTTATTTTTTTATCAACCACTTGTTTGGGTCAGCACTTAATTAAAAATGCCATTGGACACCTTTCTCACCAGGTGATATCAGCATGTCCTTGTGGCTCCTCTCTCAGGTGTGTCCCAGCTCAGGGGGCTGAATGGGAAGGGTGGGCTGGTGATGGTGGCTTGGAAGGGGCAGTAGGTGCGACCACTGTGGTGGCCATGGGGCTGCTCTCCCAGCTGGGTGATCTTCCCACCCATCTCCTGCAACGGCCAAGGTTCCGTGTGTAGCACCGAGGTGGTCATGGTGGACAGAAGAGAGAAAGGCTCCTCTTCTCTCCCTAGTGTTGAAGCCACATCAGACAGGCTCAGTCTCCTCCAGAGCCGTTCAGGAAGGGGTTGTGATGGCCACCACCAATCTCCAGTCCTGGATTTGGAGCCCAGACTTCTCCCACAGTGATGTATGGGTGAGACCTCACCTCTCCATGACTCGGAGATCTCATTTGGCTCACTCCTGTGGGCACCTGAGTTCTGGGCAAGCCCTGTCTGTGGACTGTGGGCAGGATCAGGGTCTGGGGGTGTTGGGCTGGATCTGGTGCCACTGTGCTGACTCCTGTGGTCCCCGGCTGCACATGTCCCTCCAGTGGAGCAGCCCGGTCCCAGGGGCACGCGGCCCCACCTGCACGCAGCCCAGCGCGGAGCCACGGGCGTGGAGGCGAGCCTGTGGCAGGAGAGGGGAAGTGGGACATGGCTGGTGGCCTTCCATCATCCCAAAAAGAGTGATCCCACCCCAGCAGCCTCCTGTGGGCATCAAGAAATGGCTCCTCTGGAGGCTGAGCCCCCCAGGTGCAGGAGCACAGGGGATCCAGGTCACCTTCATAGCCATGGTCGCCTCCATCCACCTCACCTGCATGACAATGAACTCCAGTGCCAGCTCTTGCTGCTGGATGTCCCCAGCAGGGATGTTGAAGAGGAAAGGCTTGTTCCACACAGGGTTGTAGCCGCTGATGGACTTGGTCTCCTTGGTGTCAATGACACAGCCGTCGTGGTAAAGGTGGATGACGATGTAGTGACCTGGAAATGGAGACAGAGCCATGGAGAGAGGGACCTGCTCTGGACACATGCCAGGGAGGGAGGCTGCAAGTTCTCCAGCTATGCCAGGGGGCTACAGAACTTCTGTGGAACCATGGGAAGAGCACAGACAGCTCCTGAGGTTTCACCTACCCCTCTGTGGTCAGGAGCAAGGACCTCTGAAATCCTCAGCTCGCATCCCTGCCCACATCCCAGGCTTCAGATGGGCAGGGAGAGCCAGAAACGACAACAGCCAGCAGGACAGAAAGCCACATGCTAATTTTTGACCATAAATACATATATTTAAAGCCTTTTGGGGCCATATTTGGGATATCTAGATCCTAACAACTACGCTTCCTATGCTCATTTTCATGGAATCACAGAAGGGTTTGGGTTGGAAGAGACCTCCGAGATCATTTCATTCCAACCCTCTGCCATGCTTGGAAAAGAGAAGTTCAAGAGGAAATAAGGCAATCTGCCATGCACAAAGAGGAGAAGTCATTGCCTGTGCCCACCTGGGCATCTCCTCACCTCCTGGTCCATGTCCTGTGTCCTACCTGGAGTGCCTGGCATGCGTGAGAGCCGGCCCAGGTCCTCTGCCTTGCGGACCAGCACCTTGATGCGGCTGGCCAGAGCCTGGTACTGGAGGAGAATGAAGAGCTGGCCGAGGGATTTGGGTGATGAGGAGAGGACGCTGCAGCTCGTGCCGTGGACTCTGAGGCACTGGAATGGGAGGAGAGAGCAGGAGACGCCGTGAAACCTTCTCCAACCTCATCTTCCAGCTCAGTGATGCTTGTCCCCCATCGAGGTCAAGAATGGGCAAAAATGAGTCAAGAAGGTGGATCTGACGCTCACCATCACTGCAAGGATGGTGCCAGCTCTGCATTTACCCCTTCCACCCCAGCACTCCCCGAATCAGAGGTGCAAAGCCCCCATGCAGAGAGACACTGACATGGACTTGTACCACAGTGGAGCCCACCAATGGGATAATTGGTGATGCCTCAGGAGGCTCTGCCTCTTCCTGTGGAGTTTTGGGGCTCTGAGACCAAGCAGGCCTCAGCCAAAACACGAGGACAACCCCCTGCTGGAGACTGCTGCCATCCTGACCTTCCTCTGCTTGGTTTTGGTGCTCGCCAGCTCCCAGGTGTAGCTGGAAGAGGCCCGGGGGCCCCAAGAGGCCTGGGCGCAGGGGAACAGGACCTCCCCCACGAAAGAGTCCCTGAGGCTGCGCGACCTGGCGTAGACGGCGAAGTGCAGGGTGAAGCTGCTCAGCTCCTCTGGGCTGTGTGGGCCGAACCGGCACGGCTCCAGGGCGGCCGGGCGGAGGCTCCGGCGGCACACAGCCGTGTGCTGGCACGCCGGGAACCGCGGCACCAGGTACACCTTGATGTAGGAGCCCCGCTCGTCCCACAGCCCCTCGGGCAGGTGGGAGACGCCGAGAACCGTCACGGTGAGAATGGCCTCGGGTGCTGAGTAAGACAAGTGGCAGTGGAGCCGGGGACGCTGCTCGGAGGGCAGTGGGGATCCTGCCGTGGGGTGAACCAGCGGGCTCTCCTTGTTGAGGAGGAGTGTGGCTCTGGAGATGGTGCAGCGGTGCCGCCACGCTCCCGCCAGCTGCGGGAGGAAGGGGAGAGTGGGCAAGGATGCTCTGACATGGAGCGAGCTCCCACGGGATGCTGGTGATGCCAAGGAACTCTCTTTTGCCCGGGCACCCAGCACCTCTCCTGCCATCTCCTCGTACTGCTGCTGGATGGGCACTGGCACAGTCACGGCAGGCAGAGCAGGTCCCAGCTCCAGGGCTGCCCACTCCCGGGGACTCGGGCGCCGGCGGTGCCACCAGCACATGGCACAGCCCAGGAGGATGCTGAGGCAGAGGAGGGACAGTCCTGCACTGAGGAAGACCTGCAGATGCACTGGAGAGAGAGAGAGAGCAGAATTAGAAGGATGGATCTCGCCAAGGCTGCACCAGTGTTACTCTCCGTGGGTGCTGGAGCACTGGAAGGAACAACAGCTGGGTGTTCACATCCCCTGGGACCCACTTCCCCTCTTTGTAAGCTGGGACTGAGCTGGAGCATCCCAAAGCCAGAAGGTGGGAGAGGAGCTGGCAGGCCCAGTGCTGTGCTCGGGCAGCCTGACACCAGTCTGAGGCTAAAACAAACCCAGCCTCGCCCTGGGAATGATAAGGGCCATGGAAAACACGGGAGTTATCAGCCCTGCTTCCAGGTTGACGCAGTTAGGGCATGATTAGTGCCATGCTTGGTGGGGGGCATAAAGGGCATGAAGGGGAGCAGAGGCACCTGCAAGGGAGGATTTGGGGTGCCCAGGCTGCATTCAAAGTAGCAGTAGGCCCTGAGGTGTGAGACACCCAAGCCTGGCCCTGAAAGGGGAGAACCTCCTTGCCCAGCTGTGCCCAGAGGACTGAGGTTCTGCAGGTGGTGAGGTGGGCTTTATCCCTCCCAGCAGGGATGCCTGTGGGGTTTGCAGCCTCCCTGACAAGGTGGGATCCCTGCACATTGGGCATTTAGGGAGCAGAGAACCAAACTCCTGGACATCAGGGCTAAAGTTCCTTAGGAAACATGGGTTTCAGAGGTGGTATCTGCGTGGTTGCGCTGGGACAAAACCTCACTGTGCCCTGAGCTGGCTTCGCCTCCAGGCCTGAAGGGAGGGATTAAGCAGACCAGGACCTGGACAAAGCTGTGCCAGAGCCTGAGCCAGGTTCCATTAAGCGGTGGGGACGTTTGAAGGAGAAAAGCAGGCATTGTCTCACCCCACTGGGCCTGGCTTCACTCCCCAGGTGCCTTAATCCGCGCTGGGCTCTCCTCAGCCCTTTGTTGTTTGTTCAGGAAGCCAGGTTGTGGCTGGGATGAGCGCTGAATGGCGGCATTTAGGGAGGGATGGAGGGAAGGGGGCTGGGATGTAAACTTGCCTGAAGGATTATATTCCAGTCCAAACAAAACCTGCCAATGCCTGTGGCTGTCCCGCCCCAGGACAGTGAGTCGAGGGGACCGGAGTGTGCCCACCCTGGGCGTACCCACACAGGCGGGTCTGCAGGTCTGGGGGAATGGGAAGGTGCATCAGACCCCTTGGGGTGCCCACTTTGGGGAGCTGGGGCAGCTGAGCTGAAGGATCCTGTGCATGGATATGCTGCACCAAGGGACTGCAGAGCTGTCCCTGGGCTGCAGGGCTATCCTGGACTGTGGTGACCACCACGGAGTCCCCTTGTCACCTGAGCCCCAGAGTTTGAGCACCCCTGGATCCAGGGAAGAGCTCTCTCCAGCTCAAGCACCTTCCCCCCTCCGATCCTAAGGCTGCAGGTGGCTAAACCCCACGGCAGCACACACCGAGGGTGGTTTTCCCTCCCGGTATTGGCAGACCCCACCTTACCTGCCTCAGGCATCGGGCTTGCAGGGAGAGAGGTTGAGGGCAGGTGAGTCCTTGAGCTGTCTCAGCCGCATTCACGCAGGGAAAGCTGGGAAAAGCCAAACCCAGTGGTAGGCAGGAGGGGAGGGAAGGTGGGGGGAAAGGCTCTGCCTTCACCTGCCTGCTGCTTGGATAGGCTGGGACCAGAGCCCAGGTGAGGCCGGCCCACTCTTACTGCTGTGTGGGGCTCACCTGCAGCCAGGTGCTGATGGAGAGGGCAGGCTCCATTCGGTGAGTTTGGTGGGAGAATGAGGAAGGTCGTGGGCTCCATCCCCTTCCCAACACCCAGCGGACACAAAGAGGCCCCCAGTCAAAACAACTGCAGATATGGGGCACTAGAAAGGCTGATACAAAAGGGACTGGAAAACCTGCTCCTCTCCCACTGCCAAACTGGTTCAATGACTGGAAAAACAACATTAGGTGCTGTGCAAACAGCAAAGCTGGTGGGAAGCATTAAATGTAATTTTTGTGGGGAGGTGGTGATGATGGGAGGGATTTGGGAGACAGGCTCCTTCCCCAGCCTGGGTAAGGGACATGGGACAGGTACAGCAGCTTCAGCAACACCTGGGAAAGGAGATCCCATATGGTTTCTATCAGCATTCAACCTGGAAGCTCCATCATTCCAGCCCACAGGCATCCAGTTCATTCCTAGCCACCATTCCTAAAAACATCCCACCAGCCCAGCTCTAAACTGGGAACCCAAAGCCCCTGCAAGGATCCAAACCTCAGCTAGGCTGACCCAGCCTCTAGGAATAATTTCCTGGGATGAAAAAAGGGAAATCTTTAAATTCAGGGAGACAGCCAGGGGCACAGAAAAGGCTTGGGGGTCACAGTGTGAAGAGGTAGAAGTTTATTGGAATATAAACATTCAGATAACCTGTAAGATAGAAAAAACCCAACAACAACATATACAGACACTTGTTGGAAGGAGACGTTGAGGTATTTATCCACCGCCTAGGCTATCACATTTGTTTTTATTTACTTATTTTATTATTTTTATTTTAAATAGGTAAGAAAACTAGTAGCAAGGCTGCTGCAGCTGTTTGGAGAGAACATCTGATCCCAATCCCTTTGGAGCACACACACACACACACAGGCACGCACGTGCAGTGGCCAAAAGGACTTGGTGTGACACGTTCACATTCACTTTGGGAGCCGAGCAGGCACACACAGCCTCTCCCCCTTGTCCCAATTTTTGTGCCTTCCCAGCATCAGCTGAGAGCTGCCTGAAGCAGGTTTGGTTTGGTTTTCCCAGCTGGCAAATCTCCCCCTGAAAACAGGAGCGTGGAGGCTGCACTGGAGCAAGCTGGGGGCTTCTTTTTTTTTTTTTTTTTGGCTGCTCGCTGCAAAACCTTGGCTGGTGTGGAGTTGGGAGAGGATGGAGCAACACTGCAAAGCGGAGCACTTCACACAGGAACAGTCCTACCCGCAGTATCAAACCCTGAGTACTACACAATCGATGAAATGGAGCGGAGTGGGGTGATCCACCACCCTCGCTCAGCCTTTCCCGGCTCTGCTGCTGGTTTCCATAACCCTGTCCCCAAAGCCTGGCAGCTCAGTAGGAGATCTGGAGCTCAGACTGCCAGGATCAAAGCCAGGCTTAGAGGAAAGGGTTAACTCTTCACAGTCTGAATGGTCCTTGTCACACTAGACTGAGAAAGGACCAGTTTATTGTTGCAGCTTATTTAACTGAGGTATCTGTTACGCATCCCGACCTGATTCTTTCCCTGAATTGGATACAAAACAATCTGTTAGTCCTGGCTAGTTCCAGTCTAGGTTGAGTAAAGCTTATAAACATTAATACTCTAGTAGTGTCAAAGCAGTTCAGTGATTCGAGTGCCTTTCTGTGCAAGAAAACACAACGTTAGCGTGTGAGACAGAATCCACCCCGGACCCACCTCTGCTCCCCAGGGCCAGAGAGCAAAGCAGAAGGAAAAGCAAAAAGTGCCCCAGTCCCACTCAGAGGAAACAGCCCCAACCCCATCCCCAAATAAAATAAAATAAAAAAAAACAACAACCAAAAGAAAACAAAAAAAGGGGAAAAAAAATAATCTCATTGAACCCCAGAGTCTGGAAAAACGAGGATGAAATGCCATGGAGGCCTGCAGGATCAGCCCAGCTTCCCCACGCCCAGAGGGTGGGCACTACTGCAGCTAAAAGCAGCTGGATGGGACATCTCGGAGCAGCATCCATCTGAGGACATGTGCATTCCCACCCTCTGGCTCCCAAACAGTCCTCAGGATGTCAGGTAGCAGGATAATCAACATAGGCACAGATCCTGGAGCTTGGAAAAATCAGTAGGACTTTGGAGACACCCTTGTGTCCAAGATGAAGGACAAATCTGTGAGCATCACTCCTGCCCTCTTTTCCTGCCTCTGTCTGTCCTCCTGTCATGCACATGTCCTGGGATGATGCTGGAGCTTGGCTCCTGCTGGCCTAAAGGATGGGGAAACCACTGCTGCTTTGCTCAGCCTTGTTTTAACTTTGTCTTTGGTGATACATTTAAAAATTTAAAAAAAACAAAAACAAAAACCAAAACAACAACCAAACAAACACAATGTCAGCAAACCCACATATTAAAAAACCAAGCGATAAGATATGCCAATACTTCCTGAAGAGGTTAAAAAAACAACCCAAAACCAACAAAACCAACCCAACAACAAGTACATATCTGAGGTATTTCATCTGCTCAAAAAACCTGACTTGGGCCTGGAGCATGGGAAGGACGTCACCAGGGCAGGAGGGATGGAGCTTGGATCACCTCTCCGGGCTGGGGAAAGGCCAGAAGGAGAGGGGGACAGCACGAGGCCACCTGAGCAGGAGCTGATTTATGGAGTCAGGGCCAGCTCTGCTTCCAGCTGGAGGTCTGAGGGGAAAGGGCAAGGAAGGGCCTGATTTCCTGTTCTCCACTTTCCCCCGGAGAGCAAAAGGTCTCCACCGCTCAGGTGCAGTTTGAAAGGGCCTGGGCAGCTGGGTTTGTTCAGGGACAGAACCCCACGTGTGTAACATTAACCACAGCACCCATGCACAGGCTGTGGCCCCCAGGAGATGGAGATGGATTTCAGAGATGACCTCCTATTTCTTCAGCACACAGACGTGGGCAGCTTCCAGGGGTAGCCACCTCAGGAGGCAGAAGTGAGATGGCTGATCTCAGGAAAGCCTGGATCAACCCAAGTGACAGTGTCACGGGGGCAGAGGATCACAGGAGCCACAACAAGCTCAGGCTGTCAGGGTAAAGGTTAGCAGGATGAATTCCTCACGGGAGACAGGCAAGGTCAAGGGCGTTTAAAACTTCTGAAAGCCTGAAGGCAACAGGGGGGATCAGGCAGCACCGGCAAGAACCAAGCAGCTGATGAGGAGGGTTTGAGTGGGGCAGGGAGGGAGGAAGTCCTTCCCCTCATGCCAAAACCGTGGAGAGGGGGAAGGAGGCTCACAAGCCTCCTGTGAGGACACAGCAGGAAGGAAACAAGCAGTTTTGCCTGTTCTGCAGCACAAGGGAGGACAGGGTAAGGCACCCTGCCGGCTCTTAGGATTGTCAAAACACAGAGTTGGTTGGTGGGAAGAGTCCTCGTGGTTCCTGGCCCAAGGAGAACCAAGTTTCCCTGCCCCAACTCCAGCTCTTTCCACCTGCCTTGGTGACGTCTCAGCCATGTCTCAACCCGCAGCTCCTAGAGCCCATCCCTGATTGAAAAACGCCAGGCATGCCCCCCCTCCATGCCCCACCCCCGACAGGAACACAGCAAACCCTGGGAGGAGGAGGAGGAGGAGGAGGAGGAAGAAAACAAAGAGCAAAAGGGAGGAAGAAAGGGGGAGAACAAAAAAAAAGGCTGGACCAAGAGATGATGAAGAAAAACTCGCTGGCATGGAAAGGTTTCATCATCATCATCATCATCATCATCATCATCTTGCCGCTGGCCAACCACAAAAGCAGGTTCCTTGAGATGAGGTATCTGTGCGACTCCCTCCCGGCTCGCTCCGGGAGCCAGAGGCCAGTGTGAGACAGGGAATGGGCTGCCCGTCAGAGGGACCAGCTGGTGGAGGGCTCCGCGCTGGGCGTTCCTCGGGATGAGGTAGGGCTGGGAGAGCAGTGGGAGCTGCTGCTGCTGCTGCAGGAGCTGTGGGTGCTGGAGCCGGCAAGGAGGTGGACCACGGGTTTCTGGGCAAAGAGCACTCCTGGGAGGCAGAGAGGAGGGTGACGGAGTGGGAAGGGCAGGACACAGAGCAAAGGGAAAGCTATCCAGTCCCCAAGACCCCATCCCAAGAGAGGCAGGCTCAGGGCACAACAGAAAGGCTTGGAGCCAGACCAGAATTCAATGCTAAGCAGGGAAGGGATCCCTTGGTCTGGCAGCCTGTCACAGGGATGTTGTCCTTACAGGAAACAGATCCCAAACGTCCTCTACGCTTTTGGAGGAGAGAAGCAACTTCCACTGCATGTCAGAGCCAGGCCTCCCACTTGGGATTTGCCCAAGGATGTGCAGGTGTGACCTGCAGAAGCGAAACTGCTCAAGCAGAGTACAGGGGACAATTCCTGCTTGCCAGATATGTGTGAGGGAATGCTGAGTAAAGCACCTCATCAGGAGAAGGGGGATAATACTCTTTCCCATTAACACTTTCACAGAAGACCCTTCCTTTTCATTTTAAAACTACTATCAACAAGGGAAGGGCGTTCATCTTGGCCAGGCCCAAAAAGGAGAAGAGAAATCACCTCCTCCTGTGCCTTCTGATCCAGACAGATCCCAGTTTGGCAAAGCCCAGCCCCTGGGAACACATGACCCCCTCCACTTCCCACTCTGCTCCCCCAGCTTGGCTCTCCCCTTTCCCAGGAGGGGTTTCTCACCAGCGTAAGTGGTGCCATTGATCTCCACCGACATGTTAATGCTCCCGATGCCGTTGGGTGACAAGTTCAGTGCTGCCGCTGAGTCGGGCTTGTCTTCTTCCAGGAAAGAAGAGATGCAGAGTTAGAGAGTGACTATCTTG